AAAAAAAAAAAACAAAAAAAATTCTCTCATGAAACTTGTCGGAGTTTCTTCGAATCAGAGACATGTTACTCGAGAAGATGGCGATTGATTTTCATACTTTATCGAAAACTTGTTTGCACCTAGTAGCGATTTTTATAACGCATAATATGATATATCGTTGGACACGTACCTCAACGTTTATCGTTTCTTCTTTTTTTTTTTTTTTTTTTTTTTTTTTTTGGTTTCTTCTTTTTTTGCATCGCGAACTCGCGAACGTAGAGCACGCACGCTTTTCAAATTAGGTGATTTTACTTACTCTTTCTCGTCCTTGTCTAAGATGTTTTCGACGACCTTACGAGAATATATTCCTCGATGTATTCCTACGACGTACGAATTCTGACTATCAATGTTCTTCGATAAGACTCGTGCTTCGACAATACTATCTATTTTTCGTGTGATATAAAAAGAGAAAGAAAAATGAATAAAAGGATCAATGTTTGTCGTGCAACCTTCTCTCAGAATAATTCGACGTTCCCGCGGTAATGTTTAAACACTCGTAAAAAACGTCAGGATTAATTGACGCGGGGCACGCAGTTGATCGCCGTTGTTTCAACGATTATTATTGTTAGTAATTTATTATGATTTAAATTAATTGCGAGAAATTCAAGAAATTGATCTTTGAAATGGAGAAATTTGCTTCGTCCAACGAGTGTTATGCTTTTGATTCTGTTGATTTTTAACGTTTGACCACCATCGGTTATGACATAGAATCTTCGAGAAGTTATATCGTTTAAGAATTTTTATGCATTGTTTGTGTTATAAGAATTTTTATATATTGTGTGTGTTACATGAAACATTTGGAAATCTTGTTAACGATTGTTGCGACTGATATTAATAAAATTTGAAACTAACCCAAGTCGTGAGAACTTGTAAAAAATACTACTTAATATTAAAAATTATTAAATATCATTAAATGTGTCAAAATTGAAAATTATTCGTCTGATCGTATTTGATGCTAACGAGATATTGATTGGAACCGTGTATTTAATAAAATATCAATATACAGCGCGAATAACAATCTTATATGATGATATAAAATATAATTTAATTAATTAATAAAATTCTCAGCCATCTAGTGAATAATTCTATTAAATTATACAATTGTGATCCCTATGTGCAATTTTACATTCCTTTCGAACTTTGTCGATAGAAATTAACGATGAGAATTAACTCTCGTTGCCAGTATTAATGAAATTTCGAAATAACACACGCAATATACTCACGAAACGTCTGCACCGCGAGCAACATGTCAATTTTTAGATACCTGTTAGTTGTTTAGATCTAAAAATTAATATTTTATACACTACAGGCAATAAATTTGTACACCTTTATGTTTCCCAACATCGTTGCATTTAATTGATATCGATCTGTGAATGAACGAAACCACTGGCGATCACTGATGGCTTTATATTCGAAATGGAAGTCGCGGGCCATAAAACGACAGACACAGTTACATTACACAGCGAGTGAGACTCTCTATCGGTGTGTGTGTGTGTGTGATACTTTGAACGTATTGATAAGTGTATCTGTAACGTTGAAAGAAGAGATTGTTCTCGCCTTGAAGAGTTTATGAGAATTAGGAAAGTTGGCTCGCGTTTCGTGGCTTCGCGAACGACGTTCGTTCTTCGGAGAGAGAAAAAACGCGTGCAACTGCGTACTTGCGAGAGCGAGGAGTATTTTTTACCGAGCTGCGGAACGAATTTACGCGTGCACGACGAGATTATGCGTCGGCCATTGCCCGCGTTCGAGAAATCCGACACGTAACTGTAATAACAGAAATACAGGCACATGTGATGCTTTCTATTTAAGAAAGCCCTGTCCGTCACTGAAACTGAAAACTAATTCCTTGCGAGC